CCGGAGGCGAGCCCGAGTTTTGAAGGAAGAAATGCAGGAAGGCTCTTCTCTTTTTACAGTGCATGCCTATGTGCCAGTTTCTGAAAGTTTTGGTTTTGCTGATGAGCTAAGGAGATGGACATCTGGGGCTTCTAGTGCCCTTCTAGTTCTTAGTCACTGGGAAGCGCTTCCCGATGATCCATTTTTTGTACCGAAAACAGAAGAGGAGATAGAAGAATTTGGTGACGGTGCTAGTGTTCTTCCAAATACAGCTAGAAAGCTCATTAATGCTGTGAGGCGGCGGAAGGGTTTGCCTGTTGATGAAAAAGTAATTCAGCATGCAACAAAGCAGAGGACACTAGCTCGTAAAGTGTAAAAGTTTTGAGATCTATGCTATTATCTTCACATGATAGGGGTAATATGTTCTTATATACAAATTACTTTTCCTTATCAATTTTGTTCCCCCCCCCCCCCAAAAAAATAAAATAAAATAAACGGGTAGTAGATGTAGCACTCTCTTTTTGAAATGACAGTTTGAACACTGATCAATAAAAATGATGTTACAAACAGGATATCGATCACAGTTTGACCATCTTTGGATTATTTTTTGCATATTGCTGTTGTGAGATTGAGTTTTGTTACTCATGCTAAAGCTGAGCAAAATTTTTCGAAAGTGGTATCCGACGATAACTTGATCTACCTCTCCCATTAGTCAGGGGTTCTTACTTTTCATTGTGATTCCTTCTTCGAGCTAAGATTTTTTTTGGCTGCCCTCCTGGTTCAAGGCTTCGGCCTGATTAATCCGGATCGACCTGGGTCGCACACCTGGTTGTGGTGGGTAAGTCTCCCAACAGAGATTTTTTTGCATACATAAGGACTTAAACTCGAGAATTACTTAAATGATATTAAGTTATTTACCACTTGAACCAACTCCGTTGGTGTTTTTCGATTACTGCGGATGTAGGCAATGGCCTGCTCAGGAATCAAAGGAAGATTCTTGGTTGCATTTGATGATTGAAATGCATTTAAGAAAGCTTAATATCCTTCATTGCTTAAATTTAGCAGTTGATGTCCTTTGATGAACAGATGAAGAAGGTTGAAAGCTTAAACTTTACCTTCTCGATAAGAATGTTCCTAGTAAAGATTCTTCTAAAAGTCTCATCTTATGTGGGTTCAAATCTGATATTTGCCTTGGAAATGTAATACAGTTATGCTTAATAAAAAAAGATCGAGATCCATTAATTGATCGATTGATTAAAGATGTTAATGTTGTCCCAATTTGTGTGGGTTCGAATCTTAAAAATATTATAATAAAAAAATCCCCAAAACAGCAAGCTGTAGAAAGAGTTTGCAAGTCAATGAGATTAACAAGGCTGATAGCTGAAGTCAAAAGGTTGCATGAAAAGAAAAGACAAATACTTGGCGATAGTGCCAGCGTTCCTTGGTAGAATGAATGTGAGGACTCGACTCTGATTGAGAAAATTCACCAGCTAAAACTAGTTATGTTTAATTCCTCATTGAATTGCAACAACAGAATTTCTAGCAGCTAAAAGTGCCTGCATATAGAAACATGCAAATCAGGGTGAACTCAACAGTTTATGACATGTAATGGAAATAAGATTCAAATAATAATAATAACAATGTTGGAGAATGAATGATTTTTAAGTTACGAGGAAAAGCTGATTGCCAGATTCTTTCTCAACACAAGCGAGATATTAATAAAAGGGTTCAGTCTTACAGCAATGAAGAAGGTTTTGCCTCCCAGTTCTGGGATAAATATTAGCAACAATGCCTGAAACAAGAGAAAAATGATTCAACTACTATCATTCAAGACGTGTGGTCATATTTGCAGAAACACACTACGGGAGAAAGTTTAGCATTGATATTCTTCTTTCTGAACTCACTTTGCAAAGCACAGTGATTTGGAAGTATTTGATGTGTTCAACTAGGAGGGGAAACAAGAAATAAAGCATCAGTCATGTACCCGGATTGAAAACACTGGGATCACTTTATTTCTAAATGGTAAACAGAAGAGTTTCTTCTTTAGCTTAATACAAAAAAATGCCCATAAACTTTAGCGCATTGTTGAACAATGTAGTTGAGACACTACACCATTCACTAGTTGATCACCTTAAGTTTATTCAATGAACTTGTTTATTAAAACAAACACACAAATGCATACAAAGCTTGCACAAATTACATTCCAATACATCAAACTAGAAACTCCCAGGGCTAAATTGCTTAATAGAATTCATACAACTTAATATCCATCTTAAGACGAAAATATTGGTGCCCTCCTGAGCCATAGTCTGAAACGTTGCAATGCCTCTGGCCATGAAGAAATCCCGGTTCCCCGACAACCGACAGATCTCTCGTCTTCTCCATCATCATGTCCGCACCCATAATGTTCAGAGTTCCCTTGTAATCACTCGAGTTAAAGATCAGAGTGTAAGCAAACCACGCATTGTAGGTGGTTTCATGTCGTAGAAGTAGAAACCTGTGCTCTTGCAACGGGAGGAGAAAGTAGGTGCTGATCTTTTGTTATCGGATCATCGAATACCACCAGCATCCCGAAGTTGGTGTTTCTAGCCGGTCGCATTGGCCGTAGTCGCATTAGCGACGTCATCGCCGCCGAAGAGGATGTCATGATAGTAGAGGACAATCGTTTGCATGGTTTTGTCGGATTGAATAGTTTTCTGGTAGCGGAGACGGAGTAATGTTGGGACACAAAAAGGGTTAAGAGGAAAACACAACATGATTTCACTACAAGAGACTTCAGTCTAATGAACAGAGAGGTTGCTTGATTGAGGCTTGTGTCGGATGGAACCAACTCTCTTCGTCATGTCTACATAGAGTGTAAATGCACACGTGAAGGCCGCTTAGATCCAAATAATAAAAGGGCAGTAGTGGTTACTTAAAATAGGGCTGAACATATAAAAACAATATTGGAAATAACATGGACATAGACATGGAATCATAGATGAACCGCAGGATTATAACCGCGATTGTCTCTTTAAAAATTTTAATTTTTCATATAATAATTTAAATATTTTTTATATTTATATTTATATTGATAATTTATTTTTATCACTTAAAATTTAATATTTTTTATTAAGAATAAATTTATTTTTTAAAAGTTTTATAAATTCACCATCTAAGATTAAACTTTATCTTATTTTACATAATAATAATATTAATAATAATAATGATGATGATGATTTTCTGCTTTAGTTTCGAGTATGGTCCACGTCATCCCAATTTTCATTGGTGAACCGTAGAAGATTGCTCTACTCCAACTAACAACTACTCCATAAGAAAGAAAAAAAACTACAACCTGCCCCTGAATCTTCTTCGATAAGAGAAATCCTCTAAGTTTATCATCCAAAATGACAATATTACTCGTCTTTCAATATTAAAAAAAGTAATATATATATATATATATATATATATACTATCATTTTTTTAAATACATTTAATTCGTCCCTCTCTTTGACGAAAAAAAGTTTTTATTCCATAAGAAGAAATGATTTGAAATTTTAATAATATTAAGGTAAAGATTAAATGGAGATTATACTTCAAATTTTGTTTGGTTCAATTTTTTTAAAATATAGTATAAATTCACTTGATAAAGAATTAAAAGAGAAAATAAAATTTATGGTACATATCGAGACTATCGAGTTTACCGTCTAGGATTAAAGTGTGTTTTTACCATTAAGATAATGATAATCACCATGAGATTGTAACTCGTGTCACTAACAAAAATAGATATCGAAATGTTAACATATGAATCTGATTAAAATGAAATTAATAATTTGAGGATGAAATAAATCAGATTACTTTATTTGAAATGGTTGACCAGTAAGGGGAAACCCCTTTTCTTTTTCTTTTTCTTTTTCATTTTCCTATTTTTCCATTTGTATCGAGTACACTCAAATCATTTTCCTTTCTTCCCTCCAGTCATTTCAATTTTCTACTAAACCAGGCCTCCTCATTAATGCTGAACCAAGCAAAGTCTAAGACAAATTACTAGGTGCAGGGTCGAGTAGAGGGAGATTTCCTTTCGAGTTTTTTTTATCCTGGGTGCAGGGTAATAATGATGGCATCACCAGTTTCCAGCTAACTAAAAACAACAGGGTGTCATTCCTTTATCCTGTTTATGAGAGAGCTTAATGAAAAGTTTATTTCCATCTAGTTCAATCCTTTGCCATAGTTAATAGTTCTACTAAGGTTACTTTAGATTCAAGATGTTACACTGGCAGTTCACATTTCAGTAAGAAAAAACGCAAATCAAGGTTGAAAAGTACTTCTACGCGCAATGAATTTTCTTCAAGATGTAAATTGCATATGAAAACATTGCCAATTAAAAAGAATACAAACAAAGAAATAAATTCACTGAAACTATTCAAAGAAAGGTTTGATAATGATCATAAAACTTAGTCTTTCATAAGCAATGCTACACGAAAAGAATAGTTATCCTCGATATTTAAATCAGTCAAGCTCCTAGAGAAGGCAAGACTTGTCCAAATCCATGCCATCTTACCAAAGAAACTCACCACAACCAGGTTTGACTGATGTAGGTGCTTTTCAAAGGATATCAAATTGCTTCTCCTCATATACTCTCCACAGAACCCTGTTTTCATAGTTGGAGGTTCCTCGCCTCAACACCTACTGAATATTAACAAATTGCAACAGCATGGATTTCGGGGAAAACTACCCTGCTATCCACTTGGATCCTTGTTACGAAGCCTATAAACTATTCGCCCCTTGGTTGAATCGTAAGGACTCATTTCAACTCTAACTTTATCTCCAGGCAATACACGTACAAAATTCTTCCGTATCTTTCCCGAAAGATAACCTATAATTAAATCCTTATTGTCCAAAAGAACTCGAAACATACCATTAGAAAGTGACTCGGTAATTAAACCTCATGAACAATTTCTTGTCTCCCTGCTTCGCCGCAGTTTTCTCAAACTTGCTTTTGACTACCCTATCAATTCAGGGCCCTTGAGCTTGCTTTCTTGCAAGTTATTGTTTTCGTTGACACCTTATTCAGATTGAATTTTACCCTGCTGCTGTAAAACAACGAATGAGACTTAAAAGTGTTAGATTTTCATTGTTTCCAACCAAGCAGTATTTCAAGATTCAAATTTTAGAAATCGCAACATCCTTGATGACGAAATGGTTATCTAAGATATCAGTTTTTTCATGAATCATCATACAAATGCTTCCATATGGATTATGGAGTTGGATTAAAAAGATTTTTTACGCAAATTAACACTTGATTATTAGATTAAACCAGCATTAACCACAAAATTAGAAGAGCAAGACACAGAAACCAACAGCGAATTTCAAAACTAAGTCAAACATATTATATACAGCAGAACCCAGAAGTAATATAAAGTAAATATTAGAAATTGGTGTCAGACAGTGAACAGAAAGAAGTAAAAAAAATTAACCAAAAGGAGGCATATAATTATAGAATAATTTACACAAAGATGATGGCTTACTTGATGAAAAAGCAAGTGGGAACCTTATGTTGGCGGGGAAGAACCAGAAAGGAGAATGGAGTGTGAAGATTGGAGCAGAGGGAAGCCATGATGTCGAAACCCTAAGCTCACACTGTAAAGCGGGAATGGATTGGCTTTCAATCCTCTAGCTCAAAACTGATGCTATGTTATCCGATCAGAGTTATCCAGTGCGACAAGGCCTATACTTTTTAGGTTGCGCTAATTGATAAATCAAAGAAGGACTATTTACAAATAAAATGTTCAAATTATGTTTTTATTTTGTTTTAAACATTTGAAGTTTTGTAATTAAAATAAATATTTTATATTTTATATTTTATTTCATTCATAATACATAAAAAAAAACAAACAATTGCATGACCTAATTTTTAATCATTTATATTTTAAAATACCTAAATTTTTTATTTTCCATCTCAGTTTCTTTCCTGAAAAATAAAACAAAAAACTGAACAGTACATGTAGCGTATGTAATTAGAGTGTAGTGTGGTACAAAACGTATAGTATGGTATGGTATTCCTACTATACTAGACCTACTTGACTTGTATTGGTAAAGTTAGGAATCAGTCGGTTGAATTTTGGTTATCCAACAGATGCTTGATGGGTAATCCAACAAATTCCTGAAGTTTAAACCTTTCTTCGTTCTTCCATTCATGCTTCCATGGAAGATCGATCACAGTAAAAAGTAAAAAGAAAATACATGCCACACTTTGCTTTCGTACTTGTATACAAATTGTGTCTATGTATTGTTTTATTAGCATGTTAATTTTGTTTTAAAAGGATGTTTTTCCTTTAGTCTATTAGTTGTTGAGATTGATTTTGATTGATTTGGAATTTTGGGTCTTGTATTTGGTGAATGAGGACATGGTTTGTTCATTTTCTTTTCTTAAACTGAGTTGAGATGATGTTTTGTTGATAAAACTACATTTTCAGTCCTCATATGATTCATGTTGGTTATTTGATCACTGTTCTACCAAATTTTTTAAATGTTTTTGTTGGTCCATAGAGTGTTTCTTGTCTGTTAGGTTAGATTGTATGTTTCTAATGCCCTTTCTTCATTTTTATTAGGTTGGGTTATATGTTTGTAATGTCCTTTCTTCATGTTTGATTGGGGAAAAACCTAATGGAGCTAAATTGGCTTACCATGAAACACTATCTCTAGAGGTTTAGGGCTTGTAAAAAATAACTTCTGTCTCTAACTTTCTGTTTTATTTCTTACATCAGCCGGAGAGTTCAAGCAGTCTGAGGAGGCATATTGCTCAAGCACTAATGAAAAACCATCGGTCAATTGAAAAAACTAATCAGGCCCTACAACCTGTATCGCCTGCAAGTTAATGGAGGTAAAATTTCCTTTCTTGCTTCTGAAAATGGCGTTATCTGTAGAATAAGTACAGAATAGGAAAGGTGGTTTTATTTTTCTGATTTTTATTTCTGGATAAAAAGAAGGTTTATTTATCCAAGATGATGAAGTCTTGTGTTTGGGGACAGGCTTCAGCCTTGTGACCAAATTGATTCATCTTGGTTGTATTATGACTATTGTCCCCCTAGTCTCTAACTAAAACTTAACTCTGTGTTATTTAGGTTCTAAGTTGATAAACTGCATAGCTGGGTGTTCATGGTGGCTTAATTACATTTTTACATATATCTTATGTTTCATTCCAATACATCTAGAGTTTTAACATGCATTTCCTCCCTTTTCAGATGGCACCTTATAATCTTGCAGTCATGCCTAGCAGTTCCGTAAGTTTTAGGGGAAGAATCGGTGAGTCGCATTATAATCTCAAAACATCTACAGAACTGCTGAAAGTACTAAACCATATTTGGAGTCTGGAAGAACAACATGCATCCAATATATCATTGATAAAAGCATTGAAGAAGGAATTAGATCATTCCTGTGTTAGGATCAAGGATTTGCTACGAGATCAGCAAACATGTTGATGCGAAATTGATGGTTTGATGAAGCAGATTGTTGAAGACAAATTGGTTAGGAAGAGTAAAGAACAACACCAGGTTTATGTTGCGGAAGACGGCTATCGGATAGAGCAAAACCGTAACTGATAATTTGAGAAAATAAAAATGAAGATAAAAGAGACACAAAATTTACGTGGAAAACACCTAAAAATTTAGGGTAAAAACCACGGGCAACGGCAGAAGAATTTCACTATGAGAAAATAGGAATTACAACATCTCTCGATCTACCAAGGAGAAAACAATGATAATTCTCTCTCGATAAAAGGAGAAAACAACTCTTAAGAAACTCTCTAAATTCTCTCTAGTATTGGAAGAAAGCTAGAATGCTTTGGGATGGTTTTGAAGCTAAATGAGCTAGGGTATTTATAGTTAAAGCTTAAGGACTAATCTTGTAAATACCCTAAAGTCTAATGACTAAAATTAATTTTTCCATTCCATTTTTTTTCAACATTTTAGGTGAATTATTATTTCTAATTTTTCAAATCACCTTTCGGTGGAAAATTAGGCCATCAATTTTGGCCACTTGTCTTGACTTTTCAACAATCTCCCACTTGAAGATTTGATTGGAACAATCATATCTTCACACCATTCTTTCTACCTTGTACCATCATGTTTGTTGAGTTAATCGATTGACGGAATCGGCCAAGAGGGGGGTGAATTGGCAATTAAAAATTTCGTGGAAGCTTTTGCAGAAAAATTGAAAGTAATTGCACAACGATTTACAGTGGTTCGACTTTCTCAAACAAAGTCTACGTCCACTACCTTAGCTATCCACACTAAGGATTTTCCAACAAATTCACTAATTTGTTCTTTCTTTTGAGGCCAAAGAGATAACCTTACAAATCCCTCAAGAGTATACCCCAACTCTTGAGAACACTCTTTTTCCCAAAGAGAAGATTACAAATTTGCAAACTTACAAGAAAACCTCACAAGGTAAGATGTTTGCACAATTCTAGAACAAGAAAAGAACACTCAAAGATAATTACAAATGAGCACAAATGGTGTTCTTGAAAGCAAAATGAATATTGAAAGGAAAATTGGCTTGATTTGCACAAACTTGGTGTTTGATGCTTTCTCTCTTGTTTTTCTATGATTTCTTGTTGATCAAGGGCTTCAGAACTTGTTTAAATACACCTTGAATCTCTTCTGAATGTTGGGGATGATTAGTGAAGATCATATAGCCGTTTTAGTGTGAAAACAATTAATAAAACAGTTTGGAGCGTGGGCGGAATCGGTACCCCCTATGGGGAATCGGTTCCCTAAGTGTAAAATTCAAATATTTCGACCGTTGAACAGGGGGGAATCGGTACCCCCCTATGGGGGAATCGGTTCCCTCCGAGCATTATGAAAATCTCGGAGCCAAACCATTCAGGGGGGAATCGGTACCCCCTTGGGGGGGAATCGGTTCCCTCTGAGCAATCTGGAATTTTTGGCTTTGAAATGGTTCGAAATACTTTGAAAGATTATTTTGAAATTGTTTTAAGATTAAAACTTAATTTTACACATAAGTAAGGATTAAAAATGATTTTTGAAATATTTTGAGTAATGTTTTGATATTCGAATAATTATATCAAATATACTTGGAAAATCTTAAAATTCATTTAACTTAATTTGTTATATCGAAATATCAAAATGTTTTCAACAATCTCCCCCTTTTTGATATAACAAAACATTTTAGTAATTTTAAGATTTTGAAATCAAGTTTTGAAATTACTCCCCCTTACTTTAACACCATTTATCATTTTAAAAATGCACTTAAAACACACTTCTCCCCCTTTTTGTTAAATCAAAAAGATTCAAATAAACGTGAAGAATATTAAGCCAATTGATTATGTATATGTATGCATAAGCTGCTAAGATCACAATTAAGAGAAACGTTAGCCATTAGTTCCGTAATCAATATTCATAAATAATGTGATATGGCAAAATTGGTCATATTGCTAATAATGATGTAAATGATGCAATAATAAATAAATTACACCAAGCATATAAGTTCAAACCATCCATAAATCCAAACAAATTCACAATTCTCAAATTCAAACATCCCAAAATATTCAAAATGTTAAAACAATAAGTTTGGAAAAACAAATTAAAACATAGAATCAAACATTCGTAGGAGGATCGGGAGGAGGAAAACGAGCTCGCATAGCGGCCATTTCTTTAGTGAGGTCATTAATATGTGCGTTGGTTACTTCATTATTTGCACGCATTTTCCGAAGAATTTCTAATTGTTAAGCTCCCATTGTGGATAAATGGGACTCTATAGAAATAAAGCGCGAATCCATAGTCGCATACCGGTAATCAAATGTCTCCATAAAAGATTGAAAATATGGAGGTATTTGAGTCGATTGTTGTGCTTGCTCTTCGGGCTGCTCCTCGGCCTGCTCAGGTTCAGCTTCAGCTTCATCGATGTCTCGCATTAGTTGCTCAAGCTCAAGATCTTCGTCAGCTTCGGGTGGAGCTCGTGAAGAACTAGCTCCCGGAGTAGTTGCAGAAGATCGAACCCATTCCCCGGTTTCCTTATCCTTAATCCATCCCGCTCTCGTTAAGGAAAGAAGGTTAATTTGTTTCTTAAGAGAAAAAACGGAATCTAGACTGACTCTAAGCCCAGCTTTTGAAAACAGATTACTCAAAATACAGCCGTAAACAAGAGATGAACAAAGTTTTTTATTAGGAACAAGATTTACGGTTTCAACAATTTCAGCAAAAAATAATCTGAGGTAGGTTGATTTTAATATTGTTTTCGAAACAATGTAACCACCAAAGATCTAAGGCTCTAAGAGTAGAATAACGACCTCCATATGGTCGAAACCACCAAGAAATCATTAGATGAAGAAAACGTTCATGAAGGTCTAGAACACTTGCACTATCCCTTCTTTTATAACGAGATCCTAAAACCTGTTTTTCATTTGAAATCCCTTCATTATCTAATCCGAAAGTATTAGCTATGTAAGCCGAGTCAATATATAAGAATTGTCCTAGAAGGTAGGAACGAATTCCTATGGTTTCGGTTTCAGTTTGGTCTTTAACACAAACGGCATTAGAATAGAAAATACGAACAAGTTGATGGTAAACGATGGGTTCAAGGTCAAAGAGTTTATCAAATTTCCACTCTTGTAAAAGAGGAAGATATTTAAAATTGATAGCTAACAT